GTTTGAATAAAATCAAAAAAATTAATAACCAATCAAGATTTATCCAAATTTGGTCAGAATATCAAGATGTACTCTATTTTACCTTTTCAAAACGATTTTTTCGTAGAGACTAGCAAAAAACATTCTTGTACTTCACAATAGAGGTGGCACTTTACTAGTTACTCGATAACTTTAGTACTTAGTTACTTAGTTACTAGTAACGAGTACCTGATTTCGTTACTTCTCTATAAAGTAACGGTTTTTTGTTACTTTCTGGAGGAGTACTGAACTCAGTTACTCGTTACTATTATCCGTTTCAATGAACGGGGGAATTGCGATGTTTTGCTTATGTCTTTTGAAGGAAAAGAGCTATCGATCTGCGGTTTTCATCATTCGAAAGACAAAACTTGGAGGTATGCTTTCATAACTAAAACTGTTTCCAGAAGAGTATTCTGAAACAAGCTTTCAAGGAGATCTTTGGAAAACTAGGTCGTCCGTAAAAATTTCCCAACAGGATTATTTGCTTTTTTTCATGAGCTGATAACCTGTGGTGTCCTCTTCAAAATGTGAGTAGAAGAGCACACTTTAAAGTGTACCAGAATAATTTTCGTTACGATTGCATAACGAAAACTCGGTATTTCAAAAACTGTTCACACAACCTCGTAGAATTCTGTAAGTTATTTAGCATATTAAGATTCTGTATTTCAAGGGCTATCTTTTCAACAAAATTAACCAATTTCTGGAAAACAGTCGTGCGTAGCTTTGGGCAACGCAGCCTAGCCTAAATTTACGGAAAAATGAAATATCTTAGATACGAAACAAATTTTTAAAAACTGTCGGTTATACTTTTATTACAGCAGCGATGGCGGCTCCAATGCAGTGAAACTGATGGTTTCATTTTTAAGTATCCGAGTGGAGGAGTGTGAAGGTGTCGTCTACATATCGTTTCCACGCTATTAATTTCCTGTTCCTTACTTTGAGAATGTCTGAAATGTATTTGTCGTATTGAAGTTAACATGTTTATAGAAGGTATAATGTGGATAAGGTAGGTTATCAAAGGTGTACTGATTCAGCTAACCAAAAGTTATTTGGCTATTCGAATAAGACCATTATCACAACTGATATCTAAAGTTGATAATGCGAAACTTTATCTTACTTAGTTTTGATCGTTGTTAGACCGGTCACATCTTGCGGATTTTCCAAACGCTTAAATAAGCTATTTGGTAAGTCGAAGCATTCAAACCTTTTTCCTAAAGACAACTTTTGATGCTCTCTCGAATCGTCTCAAAAATTTAGTTTGGATTTTTTCTGAAAAGACATTAATTGAAATTTCTTAAAAAGATCACAAACCGAAATACTACATCTTAAAATGAAAACAAACATCAAACTTCTAGCTCATTAGGAGAACATAACACCCTTAAACTATCTCCAAAAAAATGTAATTAGATCGTTGGAATTATTTGGATTTATTTCGTACTTTTTGGATTTTTCGGTTTTTTTTGTACTCGGACGGATTAAAAATCCGAAAAATCCGCCGGTTCCCCCTTGGTTTGTTCTCTAATACTAGTTATTTGAGTTTTGATTTCAATCACTTGTGGATGCTCATCATGGAGTCCAATCTCCGTAGCAAGTTTTCTGGCAGTTTCTAAATGTTCCAATGCGATTCCATATTCATCTAAGCGCATATAAGTATCTCCAAGGTTATTGTAAGCAATGAAAAGATGCTGCATATCTGCAATAGCTACATTACCCAAATGTTCATATATAGATAAAGCTTTTTCAGTATATTTTATGCATTGTGTGTCGTTCTTCAATACTGTAGATGCTAGAACTCCCATTTGTATATAGGATTGTGCAGCATAACCAGGATCCTCGCATTCATCTGAGTGACTTTCATGAATATTAACGACTTTCCTATGATACTTAATCGCTTCATCAAATGAATTCATCTTTTCGTATATAGATGCCATGTCGTGATATAGTTCCTCCAAAAAAAATTCGTTTTCAACACCGTAAGATGAAGCTTTATGATATCTTTTTAATGCTTTCGAAAATTTTCCTGTTTTTTCGTAAAATGTTCCTATACTATGGTGGATTTCTGCCAGAATATATTTCGAATTGTCTGCAGCATCTCCATATGAAAGTGCAATTCTGTAATGTTTCATTGCTAGAGATCCGTCTCCTATACGTTGATAACTTTCACCTACGGCCCTGTATGTTTCAGAAAACCAGTTTTCTAACGAAGCATCTTTACATACCTTTAATGCCTTTTCATAATAATCTTTCGCAGTTTCGTAGTTTTCTAGATAATAAAAGTAGACATTACCAATATTCAAGTAATTATTGACTAGTTGCTCTGCAGTATTCGTGTATTCTTTCGCATCCGTAAAAGTTTGAACTGCTGAAGAGTAATTGCCCAATGCAATATGTGCATTGCTTATTTCACGATAGGTGTCAACGATTTCGCGTTCGTTTTTAAAATCAGTTGACGGATTCAAATGAATTGTTAAAGCTTTGAGCGCGTAATTTAATCGTAGGTTATGTTTTTTTAATTCAGCGGACGCATATGCCATATTGTTATAAGAATCGGCAATCGACGGATGATTGTTCGGATATATAAATTTTCTAACTTTTAATGCTCTCTTACAATACATCAATCCTAACTTGCCTTTTTTCTGAATGCAATAAACGTGTCCTAACATATCGTAGGCTTGTGCAAAAAAATTCATGCATTTGTTCTCACAAAATTTTCTCAGCTGTAAAATTTTTCTGCAATATTTTAGTGTCTGAGAGTATTTGTCTTGATCGAAATAAAAATATAATAAGTGACAGTACGCCTCTAGAAGATGGTTTAAGTAAGGTTTAGACTGTTCGCCAATAATGTTTAGTGCTTTCTTGTAATACTTTAAAGCAGTATTTGGATATTTTAGCTTCTTGTATACTGATCCAATATGAGTGTACACTTTAACCAAATTTGTATCGTTTTCAGATCGAGATTTCAGTAAAATTGCCAGACCTTTCTTAAAGTTTTGCAAAGCAGTTTGATTCTCATCTAAATTTAAACATAGTCTTCCTAAGGACAAATAGCATTCTGCTATACAAACACTATCGGTCGGCATCGATTCAAGTAGTATATGAAGTGCTTTTTCATAATATTTTCTAGCCTCATTGTAATTACTCTGGTCATTATAAACGTCACCTAAACTCCTCAACGTAAAAGCTATAGTAGGATGATTTTCTGGGAGTTTTTGTTGATTTATTTCGTCTGACTTTTTATAGTACTTAACTGCAATTGAGAATTTATCAAGTTCATGATAAGAACTTGCTAATGCCATATATGTATTAGCTAAGGCTATATTATCTTCTGCATATAGAGTTTTCCGGATTTTGAGAGCCTTTTTTTGTAGTTTTAAAGCTGCCTTGTAATTGTTTTGGCTTTGCCGCAGACCTGCCAAATCGATGTAAAACTCAGCTAAATAGTATTGCGTTTCTTCGGTCAATGCTTTCGAATATATTTTCTTGGCTTTCTTGAAAAGCGACAGAGCTTCTTCATAATTTTCCTCATCGACCAGCATAACTGCAATTCTACAATAAGCGTATCCAACATTTATATCATCTTCAGGCAACTCTCGAACTAATAGTTCATAATAATGACGAGCCTTCTTATGTTCATTTAAGTCTAATGATAAAACCTCGCCGAGCAGCAACAGTGAAGACTCTTCGCCAATGGATGCTTTATAATCATCAAATAGATTTTTCAAGGGTTCATGTTCCTCGCTAACCATCTCTAGTGTTACATACCAAACTTCGCCAGTGAATTTTTCAACTGATAGGATTTTAAAAATAGTTCCCATTGTGAAAAGATACTCGTCTTCGTCACTATTAACGCTAACTTCGCTTATTCGTGCAAAAGGTTTAGTTTTGTTAATGGTCGAGTCAACATTTATTTGAAATATGACTGATGTTAAAGTCGAGTCAGTGTGTACTGCAAGGTTTCCACTAAAGTCACTTGCTACAATCGAGGACGATGTGGTAGACAGGAATGTATTCACCGAGATATAACCGTTTATATTATTTTGAATTTTTTCAAGCTCGACAGCATGCATGTTCTGACCGCGATATAACGTCAAAGTTTGCTTATCCGGAAATTGCTCATCATGTAAACGCTTGAGTTGCTTATACAAGTCGATAATAAAAAATCTATATAGAAATATGCGATCAATATTTTCAGTTCGTAACGCTTTGTTAATAAGTCGATAAACAAAACAATCGCGCGTATACCAACAGATTGCATCTTCGCATTTGTATTGGTTTCTGAATTCTTCAATTTTTCGCTGTTCAACTTTATCATCCCTGTATTGATTCAAGCACTCATTTATCATATCGGTTTTAACAGTTGGTGAATCAGGTAATCGTAGCAATACATATAGTAATATGTGAAACCACATACACTTTCCTGGTTCATTTTTCGGATCTTGTGTTGTGCTGCCTTGAATTACAGTTATAGGCGTTCGATCTACGTAGTCAGAAATATCTTTCGTTAGCTGTGCGAGTAATGGCTCTCTTTCTACGAAAACTCCTCGAACTTTGTTGAATTCTTCGGACCATACAGCGTGCTTATCTTTGTCAAAGCAAAAAATATATATGGATTCGATATTCGATAAATTATGAATAACTGGTAAAATCCTTTTACCGTATTTACCCGAAACGATGAAAAATATTTTCTCATCTTTAACATCGGTTATATAAGCAATACATTCATCCACATCATTAAACGGTTTTAGATAGTTAACGATACGTCGTATACGTGTCTTTGTCCGTTCAAACTTTTTTGATTTCTTCTCAGCATTAGCATCCAGCCAAATCACCATACAGTCTTCTAAATTTTGAGTATGATAATCACTTATCAAACGGCTAACGAAACTGTTCACGACGTTTTGCGAGAAGTCTGTCGTTTGCGGCTCTGAAAAGGTTCGCCGTAGTTTCTTCTTGGGTGGGCAATATAAACTCTCTGCTTTGGTTGCCATAAGATTTTTCTATAAGGTTTTAAGCGTTCTCTTTTAAAGCATTCAATATGCACGTTTTTATTTAGTCAATAAAAAAAAAGTTCTGTAAAACGGAAAGCAACCTGCATTAAAACATTGTTTCTGTTCATTTAAATAGTAAAAATACCAAGTGCTGCAAGCTGCAGTAGTACAATAGAAAAATATGAAGAGTGTAATTTTTCTTTCTGCAAAATAGTTATTTATTTGCCATACAGTTGCACATGAAACGAAAAAATTTTAAAATGTAGGAAGTGTTTTTACTCAAAAATTATAGAAAGAAACAAGTCCATAACAGACACCACGTTGATAGTTTTGAATCCAAAATGATGTAAAACTAAGGTATTGTAAGTCATGAACTTTTAAACAATTTTCAGTGATTGAAGGTTCTGAGCTAATCGTATAAAAGATCCGAAAAAATTGCCGTCTTAATCTGCTATTTTTCACACTTTTTGTTTTAAATTTCATCGAATCTTGGATATAATTCTATCGTGGTTCATCACTCCTAATTGCATTCACTTTCTGTCATCAAGATCAAACTTATCCGTTGAATGCAGCTCAAAAACAACGCAATTGCCATATTAAATTTATGTCTATTGATGATGAAGTAGCAATAATGGGCAATGGAAATATGGATACACAATCATGGTTTCATTCACAAGAAATTAATGCAATGATTGATTCAAAAGAAGTAGTCGCCGAATGGATGGATGCTATAAGAAAAAATCAAAGTACGGGTGTATTTGGTAACGTGATTGCATTCGGAGACGACAGTATTAAATTAGAATGGCGAGGAATACATGCTGATGAAGAAATGAAAAAAAATTGTATATATTAAATTAAACTTGTTTTTTTGTTTTTGCTCAATAATTGTAGCAGATTTACTGCGCGACTTATGTAGTATAAAGTGAGTTTTGTGAATTGAACATAAAACGTGTACGTCAGAAATTTGAATTTATTCTGTTAGGTTCCTGGGTAAACTAAGACCTTTCTCACTTAACTTTTATTTACAAATAAAAAAGATATCCCTCTTAACAATAACATTGATCTATTTATAAGAAATATTGCGCAATAACCTTGGCTAGGCTCTGTGCAATACCCTTGACTATAGTCTTGCACCATATCCTTGAACGTATTCTTGCGCAATAACCTTCGCTATAATCTTCCTCCTTATGGCACGACTCTCGTACATGACATAACACCTCCCCCCATGCAACAAGATGAGCTTCCACGTTCATCGAAATTTAAATGCTTCTTGTAGGTCTTTTGATGTTCAATGTTCCAGCACTCCCACTACCACGACCATTGAGCAAGCGTTTCGATTTGATCACGTTCGTTTCAGCAAACTGAAATCCAGGATTTGCCACTAGTATGGGTGGTTTTCCCTTTGTTTGCATTTTAATATTTTCACTATTGAAGTTTGATCAAAGATATATTTCAACAATCATTTCCAGTTCATACCGTGTTTAATAGAACAGATACGCAGCTTCTTTATATATATCATGATCCTAGTCAACCAGTATACAAGAGACAAGCCGATCAAAAAGAAAAATCAACATCATATTCCTGTAAACTTCGTCAGACATGTTTTTGTTAGGAGCTTATATTTTCTTCGAGTGTATAGAGCTCGATTTGTTGATTCCGAATATATCCCTTTATATTTTTTAACCTGGTCCTCGCAGAGAGATCTGAGACATGCGAGATATTTTGTGAAACGTTGCAACAACGACCGTTTTCAAGGTAAAATTTCTAAAATTTGTTTACCCAAATCGAAACTGAGTTTATCTGTGTTGGAATGAGAGAAAATCCTGCAATATCCACGACTGTGACACAATCGATCATATGGGTTCCGCGGCCATATTGTCACTCTGTTCCTGTCAGCTTCTCGAGTTAAAAGCAGGTTTAGGTATGTATTTAAGTACATACAGAGAAACTTATATCAAAATGCCGTGCTCAGATGATGTCATCCGAAGACTGGGAAAGGAGATTTTAAACGATTATCAGCTTGTAAGAGGTATTAACTTCACCGTCACACCACAACTGGGCATTTGATCATTTAAGATTGTAACTCGAGTTTTATATTTCCTTCTCCTTCCATTCATAATGATGTAGAGCGCATGCAAGCAATAAGGGGACAACTAAATGGGCAACGTTTCTCGTGATTCTTTTGTGTGAATAATTTTGATATAAAATGTTGGTTCTTGTTGTTGTTTCGTTTGAAGAGAGAGATAGAGAACGGAGACATCGTCTTATCTTCAGGTGTTGTTCTTTTAACAGAAGAAGTCAATAGACAGAATATGATTCAAACAGATGGTGGGACGGAGGAAGAAGAAGAAAAATGACAGAAGTCAGGTTTCCTCTCTCATCCAGTGTCTCCGTCTTGCGTTCCATCATCTGTTTGAATCATATGTTAGTCATATTGTCATCTTTGTTCGTTCTATCTTACCATCTGCTGTAGTGTAGCATATAGTCAGTTCCAACAATTCTGAAGAAGACGTCCTTGACGTCGAAACGTCAAAAAGAAAGTGTTATCACAACAAGGAAGAGTACGAAAATCGAAAATCAGTCAATCTAAATGACCTTCCTCACGGGCAATCAATTGAAACGCCAATACGAGGACAAACTCGGACCAAGGACTGGCACCATCTGAGCGATTGAATACACCAACCGATCAACGTCGTTGAACCTGGACAAGGAACGTAAAATAACTGTCGACGTTTGAGCTGAACTTACCAAGAAATCGATCAGTTGCACTGAACCGGCAAGTTGAATACAGTTACACTAAACGCTTGAGTTGAACTTTTCGATTACAGAGGTCGACTAAACCAGACTAGAAGAACGAGCGTGCAATGACTGACGATTGACTGTGACTTACTGATTGACGCAATCGACCGATCAGCACTATTGGAAACCGAAACTGAAGACACAATTCGAGACAAGGAGTGTGATCATCTTGGTGATTAAATTGATCGGTGAATCGATTGTCTTGAATACAAAAAAGAAACGCACAATTCAGTGACTGAGGGGAACTTACCCATTCAACCAATCTACCGATGCATTGCATTGAATGATAAAACGAACACACATTTGAAGCCAGCGAGATGAACTTACGGATTTAATAGATCGATCGATTGATATGATTCTTTGTTCTCCGTCCGCGTAAACACGGCAATAGAACAAGCAAAATAGCCGAGTTGACTCAATCGAACAAATATATTTCGATTCTTCTATGAGTCTCTGTAGCTTTCATTCTCGTCTAATTAAAGGCCCATAGCAACAGAATATTTTTTCAAAGCCTTATTCGTTGGAATGATTATAAGACAACAAAACACTGCAGGAAATGTGTGATGTTAACTATTAACTCTGTTCAGAAAAGATATAGAAAGATTGACGAAGTATTCACACCTAACAGTCAAGCAACATGATTAATACGTATGATCTCTCGTCTATGGACAACCGCATCAGTTGTGCGGTTAACCACAATAAATATCGGTTACCGCGGTATCTGGTAAAACCGCCGGTTCACCGCGATATACCGGTGACTTTTGCGGTAGTTTTTACTGACTAACCGCCGATTTTAGCAGATACCGCGATTTACCAAAAAACTGATCCGATATTTGCGACATAGGTATGTAGATGAGCTGTAAAATCATATCCGACGTCTGAGCAAATGAGAATGGAAAAATATGTTAATAAGCTCACATTGTTTAAATCCCCATCCTCATCATCTTTTTAAATTTCTTAAACGACAGTTCATTTGAGAGATGTTCCATTTATTATCTCGGCAGTAAAAATCGTTGTAACCAGGATTTATTTTAGTAAATGCAGAAAAAAACCGTGACTCTTAGATCATTTAAATTCGATCTTATTATCTTATCTTGTTATCTTATTCTTTCGGTATTGTTTCTGTAATATGAACTCGGCAATTTTTGTGACATTATCCAGTAAGAATCGTTTTCTTTCTATCTTGCATTAAAAACACAACTAACTGATGGTAAATAGGGAAATTGTAAGACATAATTTACAGATTTGCTTTTCTCTATTTTTAGGGAAAAGGAATAAATGCAGCATCTTATTTAAATCTATTTTTAGGAACTGATTATATGCAAGTGAAAGTCTCACAAATACATGAAGAACAGTTGCCAATATCAGAGTGATCTCCAGGCAAATATGTCTGGTACATCTCATGAGAAAAAAGAAAACAATTCACAGCCTTTTCAATTTCTTTAGTCATGAGACGAACAAGTTCAATAGAATTGAAAGGTTTAGCAATGAGAACATGAATTTCAGGTAAACAAGCTTGTTCGATGTTCAATGCTCTCCCATAACAATCTAGTGCTTGATAACTAGATTTAATACTACGAAGGCATTGTGCCATTGCGAGTGGACATGAATCACTTAAGGCTATCAACTCTTGTTCGGCTGTCTGACTATACCCGAGTGCTTTGTTATAGTGTCCCAGCTCAATCAAAGCAGAACTCACATTACGCAGTATATGAGGTAGGCCTTGAGGCAGAAGTGGACCCGAGCTTTTTAATTGCTAACAGATGGTGTCAAAATGGCACATAGCCTGATCAAATTCAGTCTTAACCTGGTAGACTAAACCCATTTGATTGTGTATATGTGCAAGGTTTCCATTTCCAGAATCTTTCAATAATTATTCAAAGTAAGTTTGACGTCCTGATAACAATCCATCCGAGTCAACAGTGTTCCAAACACGATCGAGACACTATCGCCTTTCATTTCTTTTTTCGTTTCTTCAGTAGAATATGTCTCCCATGTTGGATAATATAAGTGATAGACCTGACTGTGTATACACTCTTTCTTTTGAGAGTAAGGATACAGCGCATCACTGTCATTCATAGAATCTTGCTAATTGTAGATAAGGCCGAAACGCGTCGTAGTAGCTGTTTGATGCTTTTTTGCAATTGTGTCACTTCCTTCTATATACTCATCCTTCTTATTTGTTTGCCCCCCGGGGGGGGGGGGGGGGGGGGGGGGGGGGGGGGGGGGGGGGGGGGGGGGGGGGGGGGGGGG